AATGTAGTATGGGTCAAACCAACTGGAAAATTGCCAGCATACAGAGCTGAAGAAACGAACTATGAATTAAAATCTACTTGCAGGTATTCCAGGAAAATACCTGGAACAGGAACATTGTCGGATTTAGGGAGAAGAAAGCATTGGCCGATCCGGAGGAGGGCCGGGGGGGAGGAAGAGGGGCCTAGGTAGCAGAATCCTAGGTAGCAGTTGTTTTACTGTGCAAAAGTCTGGTAAAGGATTTTTTTCTCACAATACTAATCGGCTAGTCCCCTCCTCCGGCAGTTCGTCGGGAATCCGTGTAGGAGTAGGAGAGAACATGTGCGCAGTCTAACTCCGGAATTACCTCCACGCATTACCTATTTTTGCTCCACACAAACTGCTCAGTGAGGAAGTCATCGACAGTCTTGCCAACAGGTTATTGCTGTATTGAAATGTGACACTTCTCGAACTAGTTACGAATTCTTGCTTTTTCGCGTAAGGAGTAAATACAGAGGAGGTTTTGACTCAAATTTTCCTCATTTTTCAGGAGGTCTAGCTTCAAATTTACCATTCGCTTCTTTAAGCAATTTAGCCTTTCTCATTCCTACTAGGTTCACTAGGGTGGACTGTGGCTTTTAATCTTGTGCCGTTTTCCCAGCGGATTCTTCTCACCTCTCATTCGCGCCTCTGATACAAATAGAAAGGTATTTTGAAGTAGGATGAAAAATAGAAGAGGAAATAATATTGAGGAATTAGTAAAAGTAAAAAAAAAAATCATTTTATAAAAAACTATTGTAATGGTAAGAAATGTTTCGGTCCATTAATTTGTATACATTTCTTCCCATTACCACGAAATTTCCCACAATTTTTTTCATCTTCACATGATTAATTTTGGCAATCCTCGTGGCAAACAGGGTATGGCGTCGTTTTCCCTGGGGTCAAGCATCCGGAACCTACGCATTTTAATTAAAAGACTCTGCTTGAAAAAGAAAAACTAACAAAAAATGGATACATAGGAAAACATGCAAACTAAGAGAATGATGAGCTGCAAATTTCGCTCGCTCTGAGATACACCACCTTTCCTGACGAACAGCCGCTTGCTGGGATATCCATAAGGCCATCGCGGAACATCCAGGGATCTCTATTAGGTTTAAAAATTCAAGAAATACGCCCAACCTGGGTATCTCAATGGAGGACAATGTGGGCGGTAAATTCGATGCGGGAAAACGAGTTGCGTCGAGCAGCAGCGTCATCAATGCGAAGCAGTGAACCATCCTACACGGCCAGCCCCTTTCAAACCGGAATTCATCTCGCCCCCGCTGATGATTTCACAAAATTTGTAAACCTCCTACAATATGCCATCTCCCCCCCGCCACTCGGTTCCTCTTCTTTTGCCTCGCCCGTCGCCCCAGTCGTCTCGAAGCATCATCAAAACAAACATGTACACCATCAATAATTCGTTCGCAAAGGTACGACACCAAAAAATGGGGGAAAGCCATGGCCTGAGGGTCGGTGCAGCCAGAAAGTTAACTTTTCCGTTCTGAAGAATTTCAGGCCTAGGACAATGAGCCGATTGTAGCGTCCAGGTTGATCTTGAGTGTCACAGTTAGAAAGGTGTATCAAGATAGAAAACAGAAGGAAACACCACAAAAAAAGTAGAGTAACATCGCAAAAAAAAAGGCGAAGAAAGAAAAGTAAGCATAACGGCGAGTCCGGGAAGTTGCGGGAGCGGAGTTAATGGTAATAAAAGTTGCCCTAACCATGGTGGCGAAGTCTGGGAAGGTTGCGAAGGTCGAAAATGTAGAAGATTCGAGGCTGGGT